ATTTAATATTTAATAATTAATCTAAAATATGTTTAAAATGAGTATATTTTATAATAATTATGATAAATTAAATTATACAAAAACTGTAACAATGAAAAAATATTGAACAAAAGCCAAATAGAATTGTACATAATATAGTTTTTGGTAATTGTATTTTAATGTAAATTTTATTCACTCATTATTGACTTTAAATTTTATTTTTAAAAATTTAATTAAATTAATTTCTAACAACAATTCAGTATTAATAAAGTTTATTAATAATATAGATAACATTCAATTCAAATATGATTGGTTTAAAATTAAAACTTTTATTATAATATAAAGCATTACAATATTTTATTATGTATTACAGTATAACATGATTATATATTTTATATACTTATTATACTTTATATTTATAATAAGTAATGTGGCTTTATTTATCGACCATTATAAAATAAAATCCAAATAGAATTTTAATAACTGTTTCCATATTGGTAAGAAATTCATATGCTACTTTTATTCAATAATTATTACTTTTATTTATTATTTACAATTATTTTATTTTAAATATCAGTATGAATGTTTTTTATGGGAACACAAATAATAACTATAATTAAAATTAATTATAAACACTTAGAATGTAATCATCATTGTTATAAAAATACCATGAACTTTAATGTCGATTCAAAGCCTCGACATCATTAAACTCCTGATCCGTGAGTTTCCACGAAAACAAATCCAAATTTTCTTGAATATACTTCGGATTATTGGCTTTGGGTATAACAATGACACCCCTTTGCACCTGATATCTGAGCGCCACCTGACCCGCACTCACCTTATGTTTGGCGGCGATCTCAATGAGTTTGGCCTCTTTGAGCAGATCCGGGTCAGTGATGCCGCCCAGCGGTGAATACGCCGTCAAAGTTATGTTGTGTTTTTGCAAATACGACAACAACTCATTCTGAGTCCTATAGGGGTTACTAATGCACTGATTAGTGACCGGAACCGCACCCTTGCCTACCAGTGCCTCCAATTGTTTCACATCAAAGTTGGACACACCTATAGAGCGGGTGAGGTTTGCCTTCAGCACGTCATTCATGCCCAACCAGGTGTCCACCACTGAGACATTATCGGGCTTGGTGGATTCGGGCGAATGTACCAGGTACATGTCCAAGTAGTCGAGACCGAGGTTGGTTAGCGACTGTTTGATACCTCGGGGCACGTTCTGGCGCTCGTGATCCCAGGACACAGACGGAGAGGATAATTGTTTCCTCG